CCACTTCACACAGACTCAGAATTTCAGTTAGGATTTTTTCCAAAGAAGAGAGAAAAATAATCTAAATGATACTGAGATAAGGTAATGGTTTATTTGAACCCAGTACTTTTCATATTTAGGGGTTAGGGTTAATCTCCCTTTTGCCTCTCAAAAATAGAGGAGTAGCCTCCTTTGCCTCTGTGGACCAACCTTCTCTGGTTGTATTCCAGTGTGAGGATGCGTTTTACATTGCTAGGCCTCTTTGAGTTTGAAGTGACAAGAAACACTGCTACAGTGGAAGGCTGAGTCATGGAGAGCAGGATGAGGAGAGGAAGTCCTCAAACCTGACAGAGCTATAAAAAGAAATCTTTCTTTCCATCAGCCTGTCTGTGGCTGTGTACATGTAGTTATGTATGTTTTGTTTTTTTTTTTCCTCAAGTGTGTTTTTCTACGTCCTGTTGCCACAGGCACGAGGATGTACGGTTTTATCTATGGCGTCTGTCGTTTATCATTGTATGAAATCTCATGGCTCAGACAATTCAGTCAACTCCTTTTAGCTTCTTTAGTACCTAATAATTCAGTCATTTTTTGGAAATATGTTGCATACAGATTCACGCAAACCTGCTGAAAGAGGTTCTGAAGAGTCTTTGTTTGAGAGCTGCTCTGAGGATGTTTTGCTACCTTACTCAGCATGCTTATTTCCTGCTTTTCCAAGGATCAGACAAACAACTTGGACCTGTGTTTTCCCCCTGCTGTGGGAACACTAAATTGCTGTGCAGTAAAGTAAATTAAAGCCCTGGACCCCCCCCAAAGTTTGATGTATGAGTTGGGGAGTATCAATGGGTAATTTAACAGAGATTCCAGACAACCTCTAGTGAGTGTTGAATAAATTAGAGATTTGTGGCAGCAGTTCTTCACTCTGAGCTTTTAATTTAGAGATTTAGAGCTATTCTTTATTGCACCTTGTAAGCAGCACACTGTGAATGCTCTTTTGAATTTAAGACTGTTACCATGATCTTGTGTCTTATTTGTTAGAATGTTGCACTGTGGGCTGATCGTCTCCTTACCACCTGTTCTTACTGCAACACATTGTCATAACTAGTCCACAGATGGGCCACATCTGTCAGGACCAAAGTTTTTTGTGTGCATGTCTGCATCCGCTCCCTGCCCGCCCGTCGCAGCAGGTTTGCCATCAATCTTTGAAAATGTCTGAATGCGTGTCACTGTAATTGTGTGTGTGTGTGTGTGTGTATGTGTATGTGTGTTTCTTGCACCAGCCACCCACTCGTCCACCTGGTCATAATGCATCAGGAAAGACTTGCTTCCTTGGCTGCTTCATCAGAGCCAGGAGGATTTCCTGTGGCCTTTGGAGGAACCAGATCACGCTGAGATCACAGGCTACTGTACTGCCCCCCAATGCATACGTAGACACGACTGAAACGTAGCAAATGTAGCATTATAGTTGTTTATTTGCAAGAGGCCTGATATCCGTCAGTAGCTGGGTGGGCTGAGCTCCAGCCCTTACATTACAGCTTCATTACCATCTACAAATCACAACTTTTGAAGTGCGATTTCTCTGACCTCTAAGTACTCCACCATTTTAAGATTCAGGTCACACACGGCCGGCCCATCATCCCCTCCTGTGCCCCAGTTACCAGGGGTTTGGTACTAAAAAGAACTGACTAGACTATTTTCTACCGTTTACCTCATGCCAGTGTGGCTTTGTGTTCACCACTGCCACGTGCAAGTCCAAATTACAGCCTGCAGGCAGATGTGAAGGGGAGGTGCCAAGCAGCGCTTATGGTCCAAGGCCTTATCCCCGCCTAACCCCCACACACCCAGCGCCACACACTGATCAGGGGAGGCCCTTGGGATGTTGGTGCCTCACTCATTGCTTCCTCTGGCTTTGATGGTGACCTTGGTGCTTCTTCATGAGTTTGACTTGACCACATTTGTGAAGCGGTGTATTCACACTGCTTTCATGGTCCTAATGATAGCATAATGCTGTAGCCACAGGGGTGTATGTTATTTCTAATTCTGCCTTGTTTTTCTTGCATCCATGTGTCCACAGTCGGAGTAAAAATACAGATCAGTCTCTTGTGTATGTGACCTGCTTCTTTTTAATTTAAAGATTTAAACATATGTATATCATCAGCGCTTGCACCGTTTTGGGTGTGGCCTCTTTTTCTGACCTCCATTCATACAGTGATTATGTGATGGCTATTCATATTCATAAGACCCGCTCTGCATGTATGTGTCTCATTGGGAGAAGTCCCTGGCAAAGGACCTCCCACTCCTATTTTCCACCCCTTGCCTTCTCCTGGTACAATCCCCATGTCGGCCTCCTCTGGGGGGGGGGGGGGGGGGGTGTTTGCTCATTGTCAGGATCAGGTCAGGCAACAGGAGTGTTTTCACAAAGCAGACATCTGCTGCGCTGTGCTGCCCTTTTCAGCAGTGACGTAATGTCCTGTGTGCAAGTCTCATCTGTACAAAAGTGGTGTACAGGAGAGGGTGAGGGCTGGGTGGTGATCTCAGATTTTGAGGGTGGAGAATGAGTGAGAAGCTTGTGCATGGTTAAACAGAGGAAAACAAATGTTTGGCACAACTAAGTGCACCAAAATTTTTACATTAAACGTTTCTTGTAAAGTTTCTTTAATAAAGACTATTTTTACATTTTGTGCTCCTCAGCAGAACTCAGTTTGTGTTTCCCTGAGGCCCAATAAACATGTTGAATGCATTTCTGTCCTTATAAACATTTGCAAAGAGATTTATTTTATTTATTTATTTTTACATTTTGAAACCTCATTGTTAACATCCACTTTAACATTGGTTAGCAGTCCTCACTCCTGCAACTTACGGGGGCATTGTGTACTTTTTTGGCTATTGTAGATCAGTTTGAAACATCATGTAATTTACATGCAGTACACATTTGTATTACTGATTTGTTTTACTGATATGATATGATAAAAAAACTCTAAATGTCTAAACCAGCTCGACTCAGAGGAACTTTTACAGAGTGAATTGAAGCATTAGTGTCCCCCTTCACTTCAGGGTTTGTTGGTGGAGGGCTCACACTGGGGGCTGACGAGGGAGAGTGCTGATGGTGGGGCTGCATGGGCTCTGGTCCAAAACGATGTGTGATGGTGCAGAACCCTAAGCTCCATTAGCCCGCCTGAGCTCTAACTTTGTATTGTGGCCTGGAATGCATTCATCTGGCTGTCCATCTCTGCCCTCTCTCTGTCATGACTTCTTACAAGCAATCAGCTTCTTTTCAAATTGGAGGTCAGTGTTAGTTCAGCTTGTGATTACATGCTCCCACTTCTGGTCCTCGCCACACTGACTCCACTAATTCATTTGTTGCTGTACCCGAAATTAGATTTAGATATTTTTAGACATTAGGCTCATTTTCTGTGTCTTGGTGTATTTATGGAAGTTGGATTCAATGATAAAGAAATTTACAGAATGAACCCGCATAAAACTTTAAGCATACTGACTCTAAACATCTCCCTTAGAAGTCACTTTGAAACCTGTCTCACCGGTTTTATAGCCTGCTGCTTGCTGTTGCACTATATTTTGATGTGCTTGAATCTGACAACAACTTTTCCCCTTTCAAGTAAATGAAACCTCACCAACCATGAGTTGGATATCTCTGTCCAGACCAAGCTACAGAGCCCATTGGTGGAGCCAGCGTCTGTGGATGTCAGACATTCCTTCCTGCATTCATGTCCACTCCACTTAGTGCATAGAAATACTTGATTAATGATATTACTGAGACCTGGGGGACTCTGGAGAGAGACTATTTTGATGCATTCCTCCAAAGTTACCTCAGGCTATATTCCATATCCACCGTACCTTATCTCAAACTAACTCACCGAACCTCTGAACAGCAAATATGTTTTGAGTGTGTCTTAAGGCAAGAAGAGAGAGGCTACATGCAACATTTCCCCCCACAATCACAGCTATTACCAGACGTGGCTTTGGAAAAAATTCCAGAGTAATGAAAGCCAAAGTACGGGGGGACGGGAGACCTAGCAAGCTAATTTGCAGTCTCGTGTCCTACTGGAGGAGAAAGTTGGAACACGTTCCTGCAGCACCATACATGACTGTTTGCTTGCCAAAGAGAAGCTGTAAAAAGCTTTTGCTGCAGCCTCACCCTTTGGTGTTTCTTCTTTTGAGGGCATATCACATCGAAATTATAGATGAGTGTGCCACACGAGATAAAAAGTTGTCATTGTGATATGGCCCTCACTCCATCCACACCCTACTTTCAAACCATCGCAAAGGGATTGTGTGCATAAAGAGAACAAATAATATATTGTTCTGGAATTCAGAGGGGGTGAAACTGCAATAATCAGTCCCACTTTTCCCATTGTAGTACTGTCCTGGAATGTGTGACAATAGGCTTCATTTTATAATAGGCACTCTTCTTTTATCATTCACTAATCCACTGAGGGTTTTTATTTTTTTTTTTTTACATTGTCATTGACTAATTGCATTATTCACACAGCTGCCAGGGTATGATTACACTAGATTTAATTTCCAATTAAATGTTTTTCCCATAACGAAAACAAAAAAAAAAAAAAAAAAATCCTGAAAGGGATTATGGGATAGTTAAAACAATTAGTTTACATGTGCAACCATTGGCTTCAAAGCATATAACTGCTTTTTTGTATTTAAAGAGCAACATTAGTGCAGTAGTTAAGTTTAAGAAGCAGGAGCAGGAAATGGTCAACTACTGAAGCCAAATCCCAAACACGAACCAGCCAGTGTTGCTAAATAAAGCTAAATCACTCCAGTCCTGTGGCTGTCCTACAGATGCGGCCTAATTTCCAATGAAGCCACATGCTGTTGATTAGGGTGGATGCCATGTAGCCTGACACAAAAGTATACCATTTCTCTGAACTTATTTTACCCCAGTCCCCTAAAATATCCTGGAAAAATGCCTGAAGTGTATTATGCAAGCTGTGGGCCAAGTGATTGTGATGTGAGCGCTCACGCCTTTTGTGTCTGTTGTCTTCCAGCTATGCTTTGGCAGATGAGGCCTACCGTTCACTGAGGGACCAGGACAAGGACCAGTGCATTCTCATCACAGGGGAGAGCGGGGCTGGGAAAACCGGTAAGTCAGGCCGTTTCCACTCCAGCCCAGCATCGCCCTGCTTCACACACACAGTTATCCACATTCGTACGTGGGTACAAACATTTATATTAGCACTATTCGTATCAGAATCCCATCTGTTTCAAGCATGAACATGAAAAGTTCTTCATTTATCAAAAGCCAAGGGGGGAGAAAAAAAAAAACATTTTAATAATCAAGAACAGTGTCTTAATGAAAAAGTCACTCAGTATTTAACCAGCAGGTCCCCAGAGGGTTGAAATGAACCGTTTTGGCTGCTCAGCTCTTGTTGTTTGTTGTACTTTGTTCAAAGTGTAGTCAAAACATATTTCTAAAGGCCACTGTAAGATAAGCATTGTTATGTATAAAGCCACAGTGCAGATTTATATCAGATGTACCTTTTTTTAAAAGGCAGCTTGTTGGCAGTTTTGTTTTGAGAACATCATGGTGGTACATGAAACGTGACAGACACTGTGATGACCTGTGCATGAAGTGCATGTAAAATGATAGAGGTAGACAAATCAAAGCAGACCAGTAGCAGACAGATGGTGTCCTGGTTTGATGACACTCCCTGCTTACAGTCAACATCCGCACTTATCCGCAGGGAAACTTCGAAAATTGTGGGGCGAGTGTTGGGACTAGAAATATTAAATGGAGCCAATGTTTGAAGCAGCTGTGTTTACGCCCATGGGCCTTTTTTATTTCTGTTTATACTATTTATAATAGTTTGGCCATGTTCTGGAGCAATTTCACATACCTTACAAAAATCCAAGAGGAGTGGAATTTCCTGGTCTCTATTGGCAGTGCTGTATCACAGGTAAAAGCCATATTGAGTTGGCAGAGCACAAACTTGGGAGAAGTAGTCCCACTCTGCTCATAAAATATCTCCCTGTACAGCAGAGACACAGATATACATTCATACTCAGAACTGTAAATCTTCTTGATTTAATTGTTCCCTTTACTTTATTTTTCCCAGCGGCACTAGGGCCAAGGCTTAATGTTGGTGGGGATTTCGCTGTCAACTTCAAACTCAGCAAAATGTAATCTGCCACATTTGACTTGCATGTGTTTGACTGGAGTGTGGGAGTGATTTGTAATCACAGTCTCCATTTGGTTCAAGTTAAAACTCTCCATGTGGTTTTAATGAGAGGGTAGGCGAAATGGGAAAAATAATTTATATCACCAGTAACTGTATTATCAGCATTATCGCTGTGTTGGAATATTTACTAAAAGTTCAAACTTATGCTTGTCCTGCTCAGAGTTTTACTCAACCAAAATCATGTCATTTCCAAGAAACGCATGTTCTCAAATGTTCAGGTAGTTATGTTTTGATAGTGGTAAAGTCTTAGTTATGAGTCATGTAGACATCAGAACTGATCCATGATATCTTTAATATGATTATATGAAGAAATGACGGAACAAAATGTTGAACTATCATTACTACTGAAGCCAATGAAAATATTCCATCCGAGTTACGAGTTATGTGGCTTTCCCCCTTTAACTTTTATTTGAAAGTACCATCGTCTCATGAGTAACAGAGATGTGTTACAGCACTGATCCCTTTATCCATCGCCTGCATTGATAATGTGACTCTGTTTTCAAGCTGTCAGTGGTTTTGGACTATTGGTACGTTGATCTCTGGCTGCAGCTCAGATTCAGTAACAGAACTTCAACCTGTAGCACTTCATCCAGAGCCATGAAGCCACACAATCATTTTAACAAAAGCCACAGTCAGCACTACGTGAGACTGTCAGTTATTATTAATAATGATAATACTAATAATGAAATAGGCCTGGGACAAAGCAATGAAACACTCAGGACAGTGTGAAAGATCATGTTATGCATGATGGGCTTGCCTTTATTTGAGTGTTCTCTACCTCTCGCGGATAATAAACAACCTCACTCCAAGAAGCTGTTCAGCCAAGTGTAGGAGATAAATTAGGATTTCAATAATCTCATCGGCCCCGAAGCTTTGTAGTGGAATAAGGCCATCAAAAACGTGCCTTCCCCATCAATATGGGTCATTGACACTCCTGTCTGGCTGTGGGTTTTCTCGTGCCTCTGTATAGCTGTGAATTCTGTAGGAAGGAGCTGTGACAAAACATTATCAGATGCCAGCGTAGCATACAGGAGACACAACATAGTTTTATTGTGAGAGATGACTGAGGAAGTTTATTTTTCTTTGCCGGGAGATAATGTGAAGATGAAGCAGTTTCTACCTTGTTACTCAGCAAAGGAGTGACTCTTGATCTCTCTCTTTTTTTTTTTTTTTTTTTTCCCCCCTTCCCCCTTAGCGGAATGTATGAGCATGTCTGGAGGGGTTTTTTTTTTTTTTAATGCCAGGCTCATCAGCAGTCTGCACCAGCAACTACTGTCAAGCTCTTTTCTATCATCACTTGGCACACCAAACACATCATCAGTTCTGGGTCACTGTCATTTCACTGGACAGGAGGGATGATTCCGATGCCAGCAGTCATCCGACAAGGATGTCACTTGTTCCAGACAGTGCAAAATGCCTTTTGAGCCCGTGTCACGTTCCTCATGCAGAAAATTATTTTTGGGAACGTGCTTCACTCTCTCTCTGTCTCAGGGCGCCCCAGATCAGCTTGTGACATGAGAAGTGGATAAACGAAGATCATCTCTGTAGATCCAAATAACCTTTCTCTAGCTCGTCCCCTTAGTTCCCAGTGAAGTCAGTAGCTTGAATGATGATAAGATGATGCAATAATGGTCATCATCAAATTAAACAAAAGTGTTTCTCTATAATGGGGCCTCCTCCTCTGCTCTGTACCCCAGACTTATGAATGATCACACCCTGTACTGATGGGTGTCAGGGGGGATGATGTAAGGGGGATTTTATGGGGTATGGTGAAATGAGTGGGCATGTCGCACTTGCTCCTCAGTCATGTCTAGCAAAAGGCTTTGACCTAATATTTATGTCTGTGTGTATGTGTGTGTGTGTGTTCCAGAGGCCAGTAAGCTGGTGATGTCATATGTGGCAGCGGTGTGTGGGAAGGGCCAGGAGGTGAATAAGGTCAAGGAACAGCTGCTGCAGTCCAATCCCGTGCTGGAGGGTGAGTGAAGCGCCCTGCAACACTAAGGCTGCACCTCAATTCAGGGGCTGCATCGTCTGAAGTTCACACTTGGAGACTGAATCTGTTCCATTTCAAAGGATCTTCAAAAGGCAGCTGAGAAAAGCAGCTTCCTTTTTTCAGTTTTGTGGTAATCTTTGATATTTTTGCTTGGTTTGTGAAGACACAATGACCAGAAAAATACATTCAATCACTTTGAAACTCCAGCTAATTAGCTCTCCAACACAATTATGCACGGCACTGTGAAACAAAATTTTTAGATATAGCACATAGTCAGTGTCACAGACAAGGAACTGATCAGGAAAAAAACTTTAGGAATCCTAAATACTTTGTAACACTAACTCCTTGTACACCACACACACACACACACACACTGTCTCATTCCCACATTTCACTGCTGGCACAGGAACAGCTGTATTTTAATTGGGGGCAGTGGACAGGAAATGCCCATGAGTGATGAAGTTGTATGCCCGGGTTGCGCCAATGTGGAAACCCCTGCACATCTGCAAGAGTTTAACTCCTGCCGATCTAACTGCCCTAATGTTAAAAGGGAGGGAGAGGGGAGCACCGTTATCCTGCTTCATACAATGTCTGTGTCATGTGTGCTCTCTGTGACTCTCTGCTTTGCTTACTTTCACAATCTTTATTGGTTTCATTCTTTGTCACCCTCCATTTCTTTTCATTCCTTGCTCTGATTCCTCTTTGCCTTTTGCGTTTTATCTCTCTCTTGCTCTCTTGCTCTCTGTCTTCTTGCCCTCCAGCTGCCATGGTGCCAGACCAACAGCCCACACATCACATTAACCATAGACTTAAACACATATTAATCAGCTGTTATCAGCAATTAAGCAGTCAGGCTAATAGCGCTGTGATGCATGACACATTAATAGCACTTTAATGTAGAAATGTGGTTAGAAGCAAATGTGCCCAAGATTGGATAATACTCTTCTAAAAGGCTCTCTTATGCACATAACACTAGGCCCACTGTACATATGCACACGTGCTCGTGAGTTCCGTTCTCACGCACAAAAATTCATACCCCACAACACTGTGTTTGAACACCACGTTTGTTTATTGTTTATCTATAAGCATGGGCACATATTGAAGCACTTTGATTTGAATGTGGCGTGACAGCAAGGTTTAGCCTCTTCCTAAGCCTGGAAAGCCCTGCTGCTTTGCTTAATCCATACAGAATTATGGGGCTTCATCAGTACAAATGGCTTTGACATCCAGCCCCTATATGATTGACAGCTAGCTGGAGAGAGGGTACAATGTTAAGGATCATCAATAAGGTTTGGAATATTTGTAGACAGGCTTTGGTCTGAGTTTAATGTATTGACTAAACTATGCTAGATGGATTAGCATAAATGATGCATTGTTTGCAATGTGTTGCTCATGATGTTCCTCCTTTTTCAGCCTTTGGAAATGCCAAAACAGTGAGGAATGATAATTCATCCAGATTTGTAAGTATCCTCTCCAGAACTAATAAATGCTACTGTTATTTGATTTGATTAGCTGCTTAATCTGCTGATTAATATGCACCGTTTGGATGATTTCACTCAGGCTTTCCCTCTGATTTTTGTCCCTCTCTATGTTTCTTTTCATTTGTTTATATCACCTCCTTTTTTTTAATTGAGTTGTAACTCAGCTGCTGCATTGCAGTAACAGCAGCCTTTGTAACGGCTTGGTGGTTTAGGCAAAAGTCTGAATCTGTTTACACATATAAACTGGTTTGAAGCTCACAAGATGCCAAGGTTGATGTTTCCTGTAGACACATGCCCTTGGTAAATGATGCATGTTGTCAGTGTGAGGATCTGTACAGTGTTCCAGTCCTCACACTGCCTTAGCCACAGCAGGCCTATGCCTTTTTACATACAGCAGATATAAAAAGGCCTTTGACCTACACTCCTGTTCATCAGCAACATAACGGTGGGATAAGTCCCAGTGCAGTTTGTCTCTTGCAAACTTTCAAACAGTTCCACATATATACTGTATATATATATTTTTTTCAGTTCATCTACCAATGTAAAAAAAAAAAAAAATGCACTTGTTTGTAATTTGACACCTTGCTCTCATGGCCTCCGGTGGTTTACAAATGAGGAAGCTGAAAGGAATCCAATGCTAATCTCTATGGAGGACAGAGATATCATCACAGGAATGATTCAGTGTCCACGTTGCTCTTTGTATAGACAGACGCAAATCCAGAAAAGTAGTTATTTCCAGGCAGTGGCATTATGAAAAGAGACGGGTGTGTTTTAGTTTTGTTTTCTCAAGAGAGCATGCTCACACTTTCTGGCTCGGTATTTTCAAGGGAGGCCTGAAAGCCGCTGCAGGCTGCTTCACTTTCTGCCCTTATTACATGTCGTTACATCAGATCAACCTTATCACACAACCAGTTGTGTTCATGTTATGTTTTTTTTTTTTTAACAGGAATGTTTATTGTCCTGAGAATTCCTCAAAAATTTTGTCAGTTTATCTGAAGAATTTCCAGTATATCCATCATGTCATGCCACAAGACTGAAGGTGTTTTTTTTCTTTTTTCTACACTATAATGGAAACTGGTTATTCCAGCCAGTAGCAGCTGGCAGGCTAGCTGCCAATGTACTTTTCCTATCCCAATTTTAGATTTCCAACTGTATTCAATTCTACCTACATTGGTACATACAAACACATGTTAGTGCTTGGACTTGCAGTTGTAACAGGGAGTATTATAAAGGATTATGCCCCTGATCTGTTTATATTTAGGTAACCTTGGCATAAACCTCCAGACAAGGACCTCAGGCCTCCCCACTAGTTCATCAGTGCTCCACCAGTTTATCAGAAAACTATGAATCAAAGTGTCACCTCATTTTGCTGAGTGCAGCAGGCTTATTGAGTCTAGCTGGAGCCCACTCTCCAGTTGAGCTTAGCCCGTTCTGAGGACCTGCGTGCTATTAATACATCAGAGGAGGGGAAAAAAATCAAACACACAGGACTCTCTGTTTTAACTTCCAAGTTTCAGACAGAAGGAGGAGATGGGGCCTGAGATGGTTTATTTTAGGCCTCCAGTAGAAAGGAATTGGCAGTGTGGGGGCTTTCCCTCCATAGAGGGCAGTTATTTCAGAGCAGTCCTGTTTATGATTGGCAGCTGGGGCAACAGTTGTAACTTGAATGGATGTGTGCAGACATCCTCACTGTGAACTGAACAGAATTCCTCAGCTGGGTTTGAGACCCAATTCACTGTAATGATCTCTGCATAGGTATACTGTAAGCTGGCTCCTGAAGCATTTTCAAAGCAAAGACAGTGGCAGCAAGGGAGAGTATATATCATCGTTATCTACAGTATGAGTTCAGTAGTTAACGTCCGTGCTCTGATCCACAGGGGAAGTACATGGACATTGAGTTTGACTTCAAAGGAGATCCCCTGGGTGGAGTCATCAGCAACTGTGAGTAGCGTTGAAATGAAAATGTCCTTAAAATAAAATTTAAAAAAAAATGTAAATGTTCCTGCAGGATTATGGCACGCACTATAATTCCTGCTTACTTTTTATCATATTATTCAAATTTGTTCTTCCTCTTGACATATCAGTCATCAACCCAGTCTCCCAGCAACACATTTAACTGTATTACTCATCACGGTGTCAAGGTATCCCAGTGTGAGGATGGCTTGTCACATATAAATAGATTTGAAAAGTACCCGCACACTGCATACATACTGTAACATACGCTATTCTACACGGCTCAGTCGTTGCAATGAGAGCAAATCAGCGGAGTGGATGTGCGAGAAGCTTAATGTACTTTGAATGTCAATATATTTTTCATTATCTTTTTAGGCTCTGTTTGAATTACTTGTCAAGCTCGTTTTGCTCATGTAGCCCAAAATTACAGACCACAATCATGCCTCAAAGGACAATCTGTACAGCATATGACACCTCTGTCCCTAGAACCTTGATTCAGATAAAGCAGAACTTTCCTTATAAACACCCCTTAAAGACAAGGAAGAAAAACCAGTAAGATCTAAAGAGCAGGTAGTCTCTCTGTAAAGAGTGGGGCTTTTGGGAAGTGTAAATCTGCAGTATAATCAAAATTGATTATACTATATAATCAGTTTACATATGTGCTTAAACTGAGCAGCAACAGCTCAGTTTTCTTTTTTTCCACTGTTTATTTTCAGCAGTTTAAGAAGCTATTCAGATCTTCAAATTTATGAGGCACAGTTGCACATTTTATGAAAGCCTATAAAACAGATTTTTGCTCAATTGAAACCAATCTCGGATCCTCAGACTGAACAAAAGGCATCTCTCCACATTCCAGCTTTCTCTCCTTTTGCTCTTTTCTCTTGTTTTGGTTTGATCTTGCCTGTGTTCACATTGTTTTGTCTGTGCTGGCTTCCCTAGCCAGAGGTCACAGAAACAAAGAGAGGAGCTGATGGCCAAGACACAAATGAACCTCTGTCTTCTGGCCTGAGTCAGTCCAACACAAGGCACTGTCTGTGAAGAAGAACCAATGACATGTGACTGCTTCAGACAGAGCTGGCTGGCTGGCTAGACAGATGGTTGAGGATGTACTTGCAGGGGCTGGAAGCTCATTATTCTGTCCTCCATGTATATCCTCGGAGCCCTCAGACCTTCCTACAGCAGAACATAGATGGCTATTAAAACGGATTCTCAGTAGCTCTGGTAGCTATAGAGTAGTAAGACATTTTTGGCGGCCACGTAACTGAAGCGTTAAGTCAGAACATAACAGGATATTGTCCCCACACTGACACTTTAATATGTGTCTGTTTATCTAAAGCAGAGAGAGCAGAGTAGGCAATAAATGCTGTTCTGGATTTAAATGGGAAGCCGTGGCCTTTTTAAAAAGCAAATGCAGGGTGACTGGAGGATTTGGCTGGACACAAGGTGTAAGGTCACTTCAGTCCGCTTATGATGAGAATAATCCGACTCTACAATGCCTGCTTTCTTATGTTTCTGAGCAAATGGTGTCAATCTATCTACAAAAAGGAGGAAAAAGAAATAGGATTAAGGAGGTGGTTTTTGAGTTGTATTTTTCCTGCCTTCTGCGTCTTTGATCACGGCTCTGTATTGCCGCTGCCAGCCACTCAGTCATGGATGTTGTATTATTGATGTGCTTGCTCTTATAGAGCCACTTATGTGATTCATGGCTAGTGGGTGTCACAGATTCACATTAAGCCTGATCCACTGCTCACTCTTGACAGCCCCAGGTCTCTGTGTAGGGCTCTCTAGTTAGGTACTTGGTGCAGCAGAAGTCCTCTCAGCACCCACCAACTATTGAGTCAGAGTTTGTGAAGTCTAAAGATTGGCAGCCGGCTGGAAATGGGATCACAGTTAAAAGGGAAGTTTGTTTTTTTCAAAATGTCGACTTTTCAGTGTAAAGTAAACTCTAAAATCTCCTAAAATAAGATATGTTTTCTAAGCAGACAAATTGAATGCTATTATCCGCCAGGCTGGCAGTGAAGAGGATCTCAAGCGGCCTCAGATGCTGCTGTGCTCTCTAGTTGGTCTTTAATTAAATCATACTCGGCCTAATGCGGTGAGTGGATGATGGGTCCCCTTTTAATCAGGTACTGTTGCACTTGGTCGGGAGCCCGGGAGAAAGGGCTGACGTTCGATATCCTTGTGTGGTTTTCTTCTCTTTGCACTTCCTGTAGTGTTTATACACACAACATTGGCTTGGTCACCTTGGCAACTTAAACACATCATTGAACTAAAAAACCCATTTGAGCTCAATATAGATGCAGGCTGGGCGTCCTTAATACTCACAGGTCAGCCCCGTATTTACTTCTCTAGGATACGTCTGTGAAGCACTGCAGAAACATTTCCTCTGAAGAGTGTTGTTAGGACATGACTTTTTGTCATCGTGTGTCAGTATTTCCTTTTTGTTGTCTTTTCACTCTTTTAGATCTGCTGGAGAAGTCACGTGTGGTGAAACAGCCAAGGGGAGAGAGGAACTTCCACGTCTTTTATCAGCTCTTGTCTGGAGCCTCCGACGATACGCTCAGTAAGTCGTAAAAACGCTGGAACTGGGAGCTGAATAGAAGCATCAGTGTATTTTTAGATGGTGTGCATGGGGACGAACTCGCAGATTAAAGGGCTCATTGATCTGAGAGAAATGGCAGTTTGATATAATGGAAAACTGAAATTCACCCTTCTTATCAGCCCCAACCACAAACTGGGGTTGTAATATATTTAGCCTGTTTGCCTAGAATAATTCCCGGCCTATGAAAATTCACGTCTCTGCTCACAGGAAGTGATGAATCAACCTTCACAGCAGCTAGCGAGAAGCGTTGTCCAGAGGAAACTAGACTCACCGCTATTGGATCTTCTCGCACATTGTTTTGATTTAACCATCATACACCAGACTGGGGTGGTTTACGCAATCAGGGAGTTTGTTTTTTTATGAATGTCAAACTTTCATTTGCTTCTTACTCTCGTCTGGAGTCACCAGCGCACCAGTCTTTATGTTAACATCTTACGTAAAGCGTTTTTCGGCAGGATTGCAGCTGCAGGAACACATGGCCGATACGTTAATGACCCAGTCTTCCTGCCTAACAAACACTACAGAGAACAAAGACAGGCCGTGAAACCTGTTCCCTCTATTTGCTTTTCCGTGGGCAGAGGGTATTGTTTTATGTCCTGAACGCAGGAGAACAATGTAATGGTCATTGACTCCAGAGCACATACATCAGAGGGGCTTGATTCGGCTGTAGTTAATGCAAAAACTAATGAAACCTGACACATGCACCCACGAGAGGTATAGATTTCTTTGCTACTAGATAGGAGGGCTTTTAAGAGGGCGATTTGATCCTCTAGAATAATGTTCACAGCAGTAACTCGGTGTGTACATGTGTGTAGAAGTTGTGTTTGGAGCGACAATAGCCTATAGGTTGGACAAAACGGCTCTGAGCTATTTGAATTTTGCTCCATCAAGTGTATTTTTTAGAAGGTCGCTGAAGCCTGCAGCTTGTAACCATAACTTCAAAATTGTGTTTTTTTTTTTTTGTCAGTCATCTTCCAGGTGTGTGTGTAGGTGTGTAACTTGCATTTTATGAAAATAAGGCTTCATTTATCTTAAGCCAATCTGCTTTAAACAGAGGTCATTTAAATAGTAACCACATGGTTTGTGTCACAGAGAAGCTGAAGCTGCACCGGGACTTCAGCAAGTACAACTACCTGAGCCTGGACTCAGCCGTGGTCAATGGGCTGGATGATGCGGCCAACTTTAGGACAGTCAGAGTGAGTAGTGCACACACATATTCGTCTGAAATGTATTACACTTCATCCTAATTTAGACATAATCCCAGCTGGCTTTAAAAGAGCGAGCCCAAAAACCCCAGAGGAGGTTTTTTAAAAATTATCTTCTGGAGAAGTCCTGATTACAATTCATATTCTCAACCACAAACAGGCTCACACTAGAACCAGACACAAGAACCAGATGAACAAGCACACACGCTCCTCACAAGCAGCGTCATACTCTCCAGCGGCGTAAAGCGCTGACTTTCCTTTGTTGCGTCATGCCGAGTTAATCTAAATCCTTTACAGAGGCGGTCTGACATCTCCTTATCATATCACCATAGCAAACTAACAGAGTGTAGATAGGGTGATTAAAGTCAGTCCGCTAAGATTGTGAAAACACTCCACACCAGATTCCCTCCCACCTGTTGCAAAACCAGGTGAACTTTGAACTGAACCTGAACTTGAAAGTGAACGAAAACCTGAACTGCCAGATTTGTGTTGATTAACACAGGGGGAAATCCATGTGTATCCATGCTTCAGCTGGTCACGGTAGCAGTTCAGGAGAAAAGGCAGTTGCTTCCTCCTTTATTAAAATATGTTTGTGTATATACATGCAGGATCTTGTCTGCATGTGCTTTGCCACCACTTCTCGTCCTTACTGATGGTGACACATCGGATGTTGTGTCTGTAAGGGACTGTATCTACTGCACTCTATTGTCATCATGCTGTCGCTGACATGCTGCAGCATGCTCTGCTCCAGCCTTTTCACTCTGTTCTGTCACATTCTGCTGGTCTTGTTTCACATCCTGCTTCTCAACAGCCCTCACACTGACTTCTCACAGTATTCCCCGTACAGCTGCGTCTCACCACCGGAAACACAAGAGCACATTCCCAGTAAACAATGAGTCCCTCCACGTGGCCTTCACTGCGACAATAAGAGTAGAGTTTTTATTAAGCACAGTAATGACTTTAACAAACATGGAAGTAGTTCCAAGTCCTCTCAAGCACTTCATTCATTTTCTAAAGGCAGTGTTTTAATATTTGGCTCGTCATCCTCTTTATCCATATTTCTCCCCTCATTTGATGAACTAGAACTATTCAATTGTGTAAATACAGTTTTGTTTGTAGGTTGAGCTCATCTTTTTGCTTTTTTCCCCTTTTCTGGCTTTTTTTTTTTTTTCTTTTTTTTTTTATATGCTGAATTATGTAAATGGAATACACACTTAGTTTGGCCTGGACTTGCTTTGAAAAGCAAGATCTCAGTCTCAAGGGACTGTCCTGGTGAGTTAAAGTTTGAAAACACCAGCAGCTCTCATTCAGTCTTCTCTGTTCCAGTGAGTGCAAACACAACTTTTGGATGTGACGTCTAAAATAAGAAAAGACATTTGTGTTTAACTCATTCATCAGATTCATTATCATGACAACTCCAGTTACAGTGCTGTAAGGCTGCAACAATAATATTCCAGTCTTACTTAACTGGTGTTTGCACAGTCACAGACACTGTCACATTGTCTTTTTTTCGTTTTTTTTTTTTTTATTTATTTTTTGCCCTCCCAGAATGCCATGCAGATCGTGGGCTTCATGGAGGACGAGGTGCAGTCGGTGCTGGAGCTGGTGGCTGCCGTGCTGAAGCTCGGCAACATCGAGTTCAAGCCGGAGTCGCGCTGTAACGGGACAGACGAGAGTCGCATCAAAGACAAAAACGGTGAGTTAACAGACAAACAGGAGGCAAAGAGTCATGAAAATCTCTGATCCTTTTACAGTTGGCCTTCATTTGAATGATTCTGCTGGATGATGTACTGAGCTGCCCAGTCTTTTGTTATAATTAGATATCAAATATCAGACAAGCTGAATAATTGAATTCATGTTTTCATTGTATTTTTACGCTGATCATGCTGACAATTTTGAATTTTTTCACACAACTCTTCTAACTAACATACCCAGTTGGCCTGATGTTGAACCACTGCCCCCTGTTGGCGGCTGTGCTCTCCTCTGTAGTCCACCTCACCAAATATTTGTGTTATATGATTTGCGTAACAAGAGGTGTGTGTGTGTGTGTGTGTGTGTGTGTTATCAACCCCACGGCTGTTCTCTTTAGGCAAATACTCCATTTACATATTTTCCTCCAGAACATTGGCATGATCCATCTGACTGCCAAGAAAATCGTGTGATTTATCCCATATGAATCAAAGACTAGACTGATGTGATGTGTCAAGAATATATTTCCCCCACCCGATCCTTGCAGAAGTTTTCTGTTAATTGTCTGTGCATTTCCTTTGTCCACTCTGCAGATTTGAAGGAGATGTGTGAGCTGCTGGGGATCGAACAGTCGGTGCTGGAGAGAGCTTTCAGCTACCGTACAGTAGAGGCCAAGATGGAGAAAGTCTCCACCACCCTGAACGTGGCCCAGGTCAGAGGGAAAGTTGCAAATCTGCCTCGCACCAGTCATACCAATGCATTTCTGCCCTACTTGTATTCACATTAACATGCACTTACACACACACACACACACACACTCATAAAAAGATAAAGGGCCATCTCTTCCTCTTGACTTGCTCCACTGGCTGCCGACTCTGATCCATGTCAATGCTACATGAAGACCTCTCCATTATAGATGAGCAGTATTCCTTCTGGAAATTCAAATGTAGGTCATATTTTAGAGGTTAGTGAGTTCACTCCGACTGCTTATATGACATGAATGCGCCAAACATGGGTCTCTGCATCCAGAAGCAGAAGAGGAAATGGTTCAGGGAATTAGCCTGACCTCAGAATAATGATGTCACTCGTGGTTGGCCTGTGTCAGTGGTTTCCTTTTTAATATATGTATCCACAGTTTTCACTGATTGAGAAGGTTTTTTTTTTTCTTTTTTCTTTTTCCAAATTTTTTACTTGTGGGAAACTCAAGTATTTGCTCCTAGCAATTTTTTCAAAGACTTGTATGGTTTGCTGAGTCTGGGAAATGAATTCATGCATTTTCTGTTGGTGGCTTCATTGTCACTTTGTCACCAAAAATGTGTTATTTGTTAACAGGCCTACTATGCCAGAGATGCCCTGGCCAAAAATCTCTACAGTCGTCTGTTTAGCTGGCTAGTTACCAGGATCAACGAAAGCATTAAAGTGAGTAATGTCATCAATATATTTTATCTATTTCAGTGGATTGAATCAATTATTGTGCTTTCATTTTTCAGTATTTTTCATGCTAAGTTAAACTGCCAGAACATCACCGTCACACTAAAGTTTTAATATTGACATTATTGTCTCCCTGCAGGCACAAGCTAAAACTCGGCACAAGGTCATGGGTGTGCTGGACATCTATGGCTTTGAGATATTTGAGGTAAGACAAATGGCGGATTAAAGCCACTCTTCTTGCTCTGATAAGCCACAAGGACGGAATCTGACCACACAAGCATTTTATTGCATTTAAAAGGATTTTGCCCCGGGGCTGTTTGCGTGCGTGTTGTGGTACCTGTGAGGAGCTTATCAACAATAACTGAGGGTTGATAAAACAACTTTCAGATCAGATTAGTTCAGCTTTATTGCTTCTGGAGGGTGAAACGATTTTTGTGGCAAGGTGATTTCAACACTAAATTCAGCATTTCACAGTAGAGAGATGGCCACAGCCTCAATGCAGTGCTCAGTACACAGGAAAACACACATCCTCAACACATCATATACATGTAATGATCACGCTGTCAATGGTATTCCACAGTAAACAATTGCGTAAGAGTCATTTGGTATCAGTGTGCATGTAAATAAGGATCTGCTTGGAAACAGTTTGAGTGCTCACAAGTAAATGATGGCATAAAATGTTCCTTGCCTTGTTGCCTGATGCCTTCAGCCCCCAACCCCCCCACCCCCACCCCCAAATGTTCATGTCTTTTTCATATCCCTGCTTGTTCACCCCACTTACTCTCAAGTCCTTCCTCTCCTCTGACTGTTGTGTTGTGTCTGGGTCACCAGGATGGAGTAAGTAACACCTGCACCGGCCTGTTTGCTGTGCCAGTGTGCATGCTGTGATCTAGACTCCTCTCGACTTAATTCAGCTCCTCATTAAAGATAATTCAGGGCTCCTAGTGTGCAGCATAGCCACGTGGCTGAAAGGATGCTTAAGACGCCTTTGCATCATTTGAATCACAGCATACTCAGTTGCAAGTTTATTCAGTGCACCTAGATAAAACTGAGGCAGAACAGCCCTGCAATAAATTCTATGTATTCTAATAGCTTTTTACAAAGGTGTTGATTCTATGCTGTGATCATTTTGGAGGCTGCACTTTGTGGTGCTGCTGAAGTGTGCTGTGTTATAGTCAGAGGCGTTTCTGATATTTTTTTGTGCCCCATTTCTATCAACAGCTGCAGAAGAGAAAGTGTTTTAAAAACATTGTTTTATCGCAAAGCTGTCATATAAGAAGAGGATGAGGAAGTAGTCTGGCACATACTGTAATTCCTGTGAAACTACAACATGTCTACACTTGGACTTTTGCATGGATTAAACATAAAATATATAATGCGTTGGCTAGTGAGATATAAAGATAGCAAGCCTGGATATGTGCATAGGACAGATTGTTTCTTCCTGCTTCCTGCTTTTTTGGTAAGCCAAGCCAAAAGTCTCCTAACTGTAATTTGATGTTTACTGTATTCCTCTTTCAGAGAGAGCAAACAAGCATATTAGCCAAAAAGTTGAATTATTTAACAGGTTGGCTTAGGTAATTGGAAAACACAATTATACTGAAAAGATTACAGGTGTCAATTTATTATGAGAAGATGGGTGTATGGCATCTTCCTTATCTTGAATTTCTGCCACAGTGGACGGAGAAGGTTTTGCAAAAAATTATTAGAAATGCCAATGAGATTTGAATAACAGACGGTAAACATTCAGGGCCCGTGCTCCCCATAAGGATTTTTCCCTTGAAAATGTGTTTGCTTATAAGAGATGATATTAAATGCAAGGACTTCTCAGAAACACCTCTGAGAAACAAGCCCATTGACCTTTAAAGTTAGTTTTAAGAAGCATCTGAAATATTTTAGTGTTACAGTACACGTCTATCTACAAGTCATATTTCAGCCTGGTGTCTGCTGCCATTTGGGTATAAATATGCTATTGTGTGAGTGTGTGTGTATCTGTGTGAGAATGTGTGAATGTTTGGGGTGAAGACGACCTTTTGGTTTCTCAGTAAAAGGAAATGGAAAGGAAATATTAACATTAATAACTGATCTCCTTGTGGCCATGTGTCCCATTTCCTGGTCACAGAGAAACCTCGCTGTGTCCTTCACTCTGAGCTCTCAAACTAAACATGCTGCTCTAACCTCTGCTGTGCCCTTAGAAAATCAGTTTTTACCTAACCCAACTCACAGTAAGGCCATCTGCCAAGTAACATGACTCACTGCTCAATGGTCATAATACACACCAATAATAATTGAGAAATGCAGGAAGCAAAAATGATTGAATCTTTGGAATGGTTAACCCTCCATCAATGTTTAATGATGTCTGTGACAATTTACAGGAACTTTTTTCTGATAAGGCTTTATCATCAAGTGCAAGATTTACTGCTATCAGTTTTTTTTACTACCCAGATTCATTAAACCTTTTGATGGTTTGTCAAAGTGATGAGGCAGCAAATTGAAGGAGAGAGCTGCAGGTTATACTTTGTTCAAGCTGATTATTGCTGGTAATCTATCAGATGTACAGCTCTTTTTAAAATTTCGAGGCTGCCCCCTGCAGCTCCAAAACAGAGATGTGAGGGTATTCAGGCAGATGTGACCATGGTTTCATTGTAAAGAGATTTTTTCCTCTTAAATCTTAATTCTGAGAACCTTCTGTAATCAAGCAAAATGTGTCTAAACATAGAATAAGCTCTCCTCATCAGTATGAGTCGGTATGACCATCCGCTTTAAAAAGCGCTGCAGGGAATTAATGAAAAAGGCAAAATTTCATGATGAGGTGAGCGAGTTTAACTAAGCTTTGAGAAATGAGACAATGTCGCAGAAAAAGTGTTTGGTGAGTCGAGCAATAAAAGTGTACAGCCCATGACTGTCACAAAGTATAGCAAGAGAAGACAAGTATTTATGATGCATTTCCTTATCTTAGTGGTGCATTACGTACAGTGGGAACCAACAAAAACTTTGACATTAACACAGAATGACAGGCAGCTTCAGGATTTAAAATCTTAACGTGCAGCTGAAGCTAATTATTTTCCACGTGTTGCTGCTCTCGCAGGACAACAGCTTTGAGCAGTTTATCATCAACTACTGCAACGAGAAGCTGCAGCAGATCTTCATTGAGCTGACCCTACGCGAGGAGCAGGAAGAATATGTCAGAGAGGTAAGTTTACACACACACACACACACACACACACACACACACACACACACACACACACACTGGGGAGTGGACATTTGGATAAATGACCCATCAAACCCAGCCTGTGGCCCTGGTAGCGCTCTCTCACCTGCAGCAGTACATCTACATCGTTCAACATGTCAGCAGTCAATTTGCAGTGCTGACATTTCATCATGGCAGGCCCTGCAGCAACAACTCAACCTGCTCATGTCACTCATCTGTTGAACCTCGTGTGCTTTTTCAGCTAAATCTGCATTCTTGCCCTTGTCCCCTATCCCGTCTCTGTCGTCCATCACACCCTCAGTTTGTACCCCCACCCCCCCCACCCCCCCTCTGTGGACTCTCTGGGACGAACGATCCTTCACTCCAGTGAGAGTAAACACTCCCTGTTGTGGGCCTTTAAGCTCTGTTTGTTTTCAAAGCTCCATGTATGTGAGTGCTGCAGCGGTGACCCCCACACCCCTTCCCCCACTAGCACCACCACCAATGATATTCTACTCCTGGCCTCTGTCCAGTATACTGCATGGGAAAATACCACAGCCCTGGAAAATGGAGGGAAGTCCACCAATAAGGAATTTGGCCAGTCACCCATCATTTTAAGCCACACCTTCTTTTGCACCCTCCCCCTCAAAATATCTGTCACATTGCCCATTAGGAGCTGTGAATTAGACTTCGGCAAAGCGGGTTTTTCAGGGGCCAGCGGCCTTTTTGACAAGATGGAAAATGTTTTCTTTTCCCTCCTCGGAAAGGATGTGTGCTCTGTCCTTACTCAGACAATTAGAGAGATGGAGATGGAGATGGAGACAGAGCAGGAGAGAAGGTCTTAGTGGAACCAGCAAGAATAAATGTAGTTATAAAGACCGATGTACCAACATTTAGACTGATTTAATCATTTTTAAGAACTGCACTAAAGTTTCTGATCAAAGAATCCTTAAATAACGAATATGAACCGTAACTTTAAAGAGGCCTTGCCCATTTATTGTTTTTCCTCCAAATTATGTGTTCCCATTAGACCCAACTTCCCCTTGTAAATATTAAGTGTTACAGTATGTGTCTAGACATAATATAACCTCAGTTTTTTACAAAGTAAAATTATAAGGTTTTAGATCAGAGTGAGAGAAACACTGGAGATTAATAAAATACAAGTCTCCTCAGTTCCTCCTTTGCCTCTTTACCAGAGAGTCTTTGCTAAAAGCCACTTACTGTAGGTGGCTTTGTGGCATGGTCCCTTTATACAGTAGACTTCTTAACCTATGACCAGAACAGAAATATAAAAGAAATGATTTGTGTCTTTCTCCATTTACTGCTTTGAGCTTTTTCAACCCTGAGTGTGTAGATGACAGACATCATCACGGCTTTTTAGCATTATACAATTCATCAGACTACCACTAATATGTCCTTTTTTATGAGGTTGAAACAGGGTCACACTATATTGTGGGGTATGTTGTGCTACATCCAGTACCTGTCAGTTACGACTGATAAACTGTCAGCAGATCTTTACTGTGAAGACTGAAGGTACATATGGAGCCTTAATGGGATCCTTCAGGTACTTGACGAAGTGCTCTGTGTTGTGCTGAAACACAGTCAGGTTCAAGAGTGTTATTTCATCTACCACACAAAAGACTTCTGGTTAGTTCTACTTAAAGGTGGAAAAGCTGTTACATCTTTGACCTTCATGTCTTTTGTCACAGGGCATCGAGTGGACCAACATTGAATATTTCAACAATGCCATTATCTGCGACCTCATTGAGAATGTAAGTGACCCTCTCACTCCTCAGAGACCACGCAGATCAATTCAGTGTGAATTCACATTTCAAGTTTGTCTTGGTTATAGAAAACAGCCTTCACTAGATGGCTTTAGATTTGAGTATTCAACATTTTATAAGCATGAACCTGTACTACCTTTCATGTTTACCCACCTTACAATGGCCAGAACCAGAATGGCATCTTGGCCATGTTGGATGAGGAGTGCCTGAGACCTGGGACAGTCACAGACGAGACCTTCCTGGACAAACTGAACACCATCTGTGCTGAGCACCAGCACTTTGAGAGTCGCCTCAGCAAGAATTCAAAGTTTCTCACCGACCACAGCCTGCCACACAGTTGCTTCCGCATCCAGCACTATGCCGGCAAGGTATTGTACTAAAAATAAATCGGTGCACAGAACAATAAGAAATCTGCACAAAGCAAAATGCAAAATGTGTGTTGAAGCTCTACAAGGGGATTATAGAAAACACCAGAGAGATGTTTTATAGCGTTTCTTTCTTTTATCAAGGTGCTGTACCGTGTCGAGGGATTTGTAGACAAGAACAACGACCTGTTATACCGAGACCTGTCACAGGCCATGTACAAGGCCAACCACAGCCTCATCAAACAGCTGTTCCCTGAGGGCAACCCTGCCAAAGTCAACCTGAAGAGACCACCCACTGCTGGATTCCAGTTCAAAGCATCAGTTGGCACGCTGATGAGGAACCTGCAGACCAAGAACCCAAACTACATCCGGTTAGTCCTGTCATTCTTACAGAGGATAGTAGCCGTTACTCTGTCAGGTCAAGATAGTGGCTCTATATCTTGGTCTATTATTATATTGGTTTTTGGTTGTTTTTTTTTTAATATTTGGCCCAAATAAATGACTTCTATCTAGTATGAATTTTAATCTTTGTGAAATCATGTTGACTGACAGATGTAAATGAATTTGTCCACTGATGAGTATTCAGTAATACTTGTCTAGAATAAAAAAAAACGTCTCCAGAACCCATTCAGGTAAATGTTCTTCCATAGAGGCAGCGTAGTGTTGAAGACTGAAAACTAAATTACGCTGTCAGTGTAAGTGATCATGTTCCATACATTAGTCTAGCACTAGTGTGAACAAGCTCTCTTCTTGCCTCCAAAGGTGCATCAAGCCCAACGATAAGAAGGCATCCCACATCTTCACCGAGTCCCTGGTCCGCCATCAGCTGCGCTACCTGGGCCTGATGGAGAATGTCCGCGTGAGGAGAGCCGGCTACGCCTTCCGCCAGGCCTACGAGCCCTGTCTGGAACGCTACAAAATGCTCTGCAAACGGACCTGGCCTCATTGGAGAGGGCCTGCCAGGTAATGGTTGTGTTCAGTCTGAAGCAGTGGCTGACAGTGAAAGTGGCCTTGTTGCTGGGTAGTTGCCAAAACAAATCCCTCCAAGGTTTATGTGAGTGTGGAAACTGTGAAATGCTCCCAGGTGTCTTTAACTGAGGTACTGGACCTCAGACTGCTCCCAGTGGAGTGACTGTGACCAGCACTAATAGACTGTAGTCGGAGTGGTCAGCTCCCAGGTGAGACTGTGTGTGGAGCTGTGTGAACGTGAGTCAGGTTACTGCTGGAAAAAGGGCTCCGATGATTTTCCCTGGAAAAACGAAGGCTCAAAAGGGGGAAATAATCCACTGAATTTCATTTACTTTTTTAGACTGCTATATATCTTTAAGCATGTTATAAATGTAAACATGGCCCTTACATCTTTTTTTTATGAAAATGTGGTGTAGAATTATTGAGGGTTGTGCACCTTTTTTTTTTTTTTTATGATTTCTATCCAAATTTGTTATCACATCATATTTCATTTGTTATCATACACATATTCATTTCATTGTCATATTCATTTTCACTCCACACAAAACCCCTCGTAATGTCCTCTCAGAAACTAGCAGCAGTCTTGTCACATACCAGTTGTTCACTGTTGAGAAGAAATGAACCATTCCCCCTCTGAACTACATGTTGAGACATTTTTACCTTATCTGCCTCCTCCGTCCTGTATCAGCCAGGCTTGCGTGTTTCATCCACTGTGCTGATAAAAGCACCGATTCCTATCTGCTCTACCATACATCGCTATCTTGTTGTTCAGCTATCCCTCTGTGCTTCGTGACGTTTTCGTATTTCCTCCGTCCACATTTTTCTCTTGATATGTTTATTCCTCCTTTTATCAACCCCTCTCTGTCTCTCAAAGCCGGCATCATTTATGCTGCGCTCGTCTTGTTCTCTCTTGCATCCTAAGCCTCTCAATCCTTCTTTACAGTTGTGCTTATGTTGTTTGTGTTCACTTGAAATGTCAAGTTAGCTTTGGGTGACCCCTCTGACTCTTCTGGCTCTCCTTAGGGAAGGAGTGGAGGTGCTGATGACCGACCTCCCGGTTCCAGCAGAAGAGTTCTCCTATGGCCGCTCCAAGATCTTCATCAGGAACCCAAGAACGGTAGAAAACACACGTTTATACGTAGTCAGAGTAGCCCTGTATGTGTTTTTCCAGCCAGCGTTGACATCTGCTGTGTCCTCTACTAGATGAAGATGTGTTTGTATGACTAAAGATTGAATCCAGTGTACTAAGCTGCCCTGTTTTCTCACAGTAAGATGTTTGTAAAACAGGGTGGGCTGCACTCGGAGCCCCCACTTTGGCAATTAGCATGCAACCACCACTCTGAAAACACATGGTTTCACTTAGCCGTCCCATCTAACATGGGAAATGAGCGTCTTTACTCGGCGCTTGCAGGCTCTTCGACTGTTCAAGCCTGCAGCGTTTGAATGGACATTCTCCCCACCCTTGCAAAAGAGCAAACAAAGCTTGGAAAAACATGATCTCATACTGATGGAATTTTCTTTTTTTTTTTTTTCCTCTATAATCGCTTTTTCTATCTGATCAACTTATCTCCATCATATATCTGCAGCTGTGAAATCACTTGCATATAGAGTCTAGTTAAGCAGACTTCCAGACAGTTTTTCTTCTGGTTCTTAATCCAACGTAGCCAAGCCTCAAGATTAATTGTTACCAAGGTTTGGAGAAAATGCAGAACAAGACATGGCTTCCCTGGGCACAATTCTGAGTAAATAGGAGTCGGTATGCAAGCTTGCAGGGTACACTGAGAGTAAGATAAAGTGCGATAAGAATTTGAGGAATTCTTTTTTCCTATATGTGATATCAAAATACTGCACTGGCTTTACAGCAGGACAATAAAATATTGTGCTCTCATCCCTGATGAAGATAAGTCGATTCACACAGGTCATTTTTTATTGTATTGCTCTAAGCTAAAGCAGTAAAGGGTTATTTTTGTCACCTGTGGAAAGACTGGACTTTACTCGATATCGCTCAGATAAAAAAACATGTTTTCATTGATTTTCATCATGGGTTTTTTTTTTTCCTTCTCCTCTCAAACGAGGTTAAAAAGATTTTGTACCCTCCGAAATTAAATTTGATCTTGATACCTGTCGGCTTTCAACAACAGACATCACACTGAGTCTGTATATAAGAGTGTCGTCTTGTTGTCTTGTGTAGTTAATTCTCCTCTCTTCCTGTAGCTCTTCTTCTTGGAGGAAAGGAGGAGGCAATGCCTGCAAGACCTGGCCACTCTCATTCAGAAGATCTACCGTGGCTGGAAGTGCCGCAGTCAGTTCCTGCTGCTGAAAAAGAGTCAGATAGTGGTGGCAGCATGGTACCGCCGATACGCAGTGAGTGTCTTTTTTGAGGAAAACGCACTCAAAATCCTATACAAACCAAAATGAACAGTGTTGTTATTTACCTAATCTCCTCCCTTCTCCATCTCGCAGCAACAAAAGAAATACCAGAGGATCAAGAGCGCCACCACTGTGGTGCAGTCCTACACCAGAGGATGGCAGGTGTGCACCTCATGAATTCACTCTGTTTAGAATGAAATGTAGCAGGAAGCAGAAATTCTGACGGAAACAATATTAAACTGTCTGCTTGTAATATTTCCGGCAGGCTCGCAAACTCCTGAGAGAGCTGAAGTATCAGAAGAGATGTGAAGAGGCAGTGACCACCATTGCAGCCTACTGGCACGGCACCCAGGTACTGATGCATTGAAGTGCAGAGGGGTATTAGAGAACGAGGTGTTTACCTCAATGAGGCATCAGTCTGGCTTTGATGCAGACTTTGTATTCATGTTGAAAAATCCTACTCTGGCCTTAAACACTTGTTTTTTCATCATATGCAGTGTTCCTGGCTAATGCCCCCCCCCCCCAGTTTTTACAAAAAAGATCAGTTCTTTAACAAAGCTCTCCTTGATATTATTGCTGCTGATTCCCTTTAATCCTGCTTCTTTTCCTGATCACACAACTGCAACGTCTCTTTTTTTCTTTCCCCCAATCCTCTTTCAATGCCCTTTCTTTTCCTTCTCGCATTCCTCTACCTGCCTTACCGAACGCCCACCGCGTCCCACCAGGCTCGGATGGAGCTGAGACGTCTAAAACAAGAAGCGCGGAATAAACACGCTGTGACAGTAATTTGGGCATACTGGCAGGGAACCAAGGTATTTCCACCCAGCTGTAGTGTGTCGCTGTCCCAGCTGTCTTGTCATCCCCGTTCACCACGTCCCGTCCCGTCCCATTTTCACTGTGACTCTAATAGTGTAGCAGCCCCTCTGAATGAAAGTCCTTCTAACCATTGGCCTGATTAATGTGCCTCATTGTTGCCTGTCCTGTTTTGCTATTGTAGATGTTACAAGTTGGATTGTCTTAACACGTGTTGGGTTGTCGTTGTTGTGGTTGTTACTATTTATTTCAGTGTTGGCGTTACAAACAAAAACTAGCTTTCTCGACATCTGAAACAAAATTAACCACACTCAGATCCTGAAACGTAGCTCACATGTTTTAAATTTGTGTGTCTTTTGGTTTGATGTCTATCCAATGTTTTCAATTTGTCCCTCCTCTCATGTGATCAAATAATTACTCCAACCATACAGTGCCCACCACACGTGACTTTCATTGTGCTGTTTACTCTGGCTCATGCTGAGAAGACTTTTTTTTAATATATATATATATATACTGATGTCAATATGATGGCACACATGTTGCTACTTTATAAAGCCTCTGTGTGTCGTATTATTACAGCCACTGTGCAGATTTTGTACTGAGAGCATAACACACCATTATCTTGGCAGTATTCATTCTACTTACCAGTGTTACCATCCCAGATATTCTTGGTAGTTAATAATCAATACATTATTTCAAGGTCTAACAGCCTGCTGATAACTATCAATTCAGACTCATTACAGATGCTGTTATTCCGTGAACTTTGTTCTTAACAAACATGATGGCTTCTCATTGGTCAGCATCTTTTATCAAGCTATAAATGATGTAATAGTAACCCAGGCTCTCCCAGCGCAGTAACGTGGCTCCCTCTAAAACCTGAACATATGTCACAGTCACACGACGTGAGCACCACTTACTGTTCGCCTGTTGATGTTAACCACCCACTGTCCCATCGCTTGGCGTCTTTTCGTTGTCTGTCGTCAGTGTTTGCTCATGATGCCTTTTCCACTCCCACCCACTACCTCTCCTGAGACAATTAAGTTATGATTGTCGGTGAAATTAACCTCCTCCACAACTGCCACCGCTTTTCATCAGGCCCGGAGAGAGCTGCGTCAGCTGAAGGAGGAGGCGAGGAATAAACATGCCGTATCGGTCATTTGGGCCGGCTGGCAGGGCACCAAGGTATTTGGGAAGCCTGTCGATTTGACTTGCCGTGACTTGCCGCCTCCATCGACCCTCCCCATCCCCCCACCACCCATAAACCCTGAACATGTGCATCATTCTGCTCAACCCATTCTAAACATTTTATTTCCATTTTAAAGCAGTTGACCATGCTCTCTGACACACACACACACACACAAACCGCACACGCACACCAGGGACAGATGGGTCATATTTTGGGTTTGTTTTTAGCTTCTTCCTCCCGGGTCCATGCCTTACCCACTGCATGCTGCCTGCTCCTGCTGCATGACTTCTTCCTCCTTGTATAGCTGGTGCATGTTTACTCTGCATTGCAGTACTGTTTGTTCTTTTCAGATGGAACTGTTTGGATTCTTTGAGGTGACCTCTGCTGCCTGAGTTGTCCTGACTTTTGCTCTTCTCCTGGTATATTCACTTTAGTTGCACTAAAAAGCACCAGCTCTGTTTCCCTTACAGAAGTTCCCCTGATAAAAGTTCATATGACCCACAGTGTCATATTCGTTTGCGGAGGCTGGAGGCTTTTACAGTCTCTTGATGGTCACACAGGGCTCGTGTGCAGTGTGTAGCTGTGTGTATTTGACGTTTGCTGACCTCAGGCAAAACAGTATCTCCCTCTTCTTCCTCTCATCTTCTCTTGCGTCATTTGTTCCCGCTCTCTTTCTCCTCCCGCCCACCCCCTGAACAGGCTCGCAGGGAGCTGAGGAGACTGAAGGAAGAGGCCAGGCGTAAGCACGCTGTCGCTGTGATTTGGGCCTACTGGCAGGGACTCAAGGTACCTACCAGCCCCACGGCGCAGCTCATCACCAAGTCTGCCACCCACTCATCACCCCTGACCCAACTCCTCCTCATCCCCCTCAACCATCTTTACACTCCTCTTCAGGGAAGCCAGTCTCTGCCCAGTGTTGTGATCACACTTTATCCATTATGCTGGCATTGTTTTAAAGCGTGTGCAGCTTCCTATCCAAAGATCCAGGGGTTAAACACACAGGGACATAAGTAATTATGTGGTAATTGGTTTATATATTAAATCAGTTTTTGTTGCAAGCTTACTAAACTCATTGTTATTTCCACTAAACCATCAAAAATATAATAGTTACCTGGATAATCTAATAATAATCTGGACAAAATTGCAATGAATGCTATACTTAAACAACATAGTCCTTTTTAACCCCGTTCCCTTTGTAGAGCACTCCCTGTGCAACTTGCAGGACTTGCAGCCATTCAATATTTAGTCCTGTGCCACCTGTGTGGCCCAGATAGATGTGTTTAACACAACAACTCTGTGATCTCATTTTAAAGGGGTAGTTCACCCGAATCAGAAGACACACCAGTGTTTAACCCAGTGGTTTCTAGCCATGCAGACATTGATGATTACAATCTCCATTATAATGGGCGTAAATAGAATTTTATTTGAGGCGCTGAAGTCATTGCGAAGATTATATTTGAAAAAAAGAAAAAGAAACCAGGCACTGGTTACTCAAAATAATCCACAGCCCTCACATCCTTGGAACAGTTTCTTTGGTAGGAAATAGGCAAGATGAGACAAGTTTAAATGGTTTGAGGTTAAACTCTTTCCAGTAGTTCCATAGTTTTAGAGGCATTTTAGATAATTATTTAGGGACAGTTGCTACTTTCCTCTTTAGGTTTTTATAGGTGAAAATTTAAACCAACAGAGACTGGCTAACATGGCAGTAGCTGTCAGTTTCTCTCTCTCTCTCTCTCTCTCTCTCTCTCTCTCTCTCTCTCTGTCTCTCTCTCTCTCTCTCTGAACTGTTCAACATCTGTCTCAGTTTGCTTCCTCTGTATCTGTGCAACTAACCCCATATAAAGCACCTCTGTTTTGTCTCACAGCATTTGTTTCACCTGTTATTTCTTTGTCTTTAGGTGTGTGTCCTAGGTTTTGGTGATTATCTGTTGTGTCATCACACTCATCATTTGTTGCAGTGTTAATCTTTTCATCATGTTAATTGACCACCTTGCACCTCACAGTGCACAATGCACCTGTTTACAACTCAGTTTGTGCAATTAAGGTCAGCATGAATGTAATTTGTCATAACCGTCACTGTCTTTTCAGTATTTACTTTGTAGCAGTCCTTGTCATTTTGATTATTTCCCGCAGCTTGGAGTCTGTTTCAGTTGTTCATTGTTTGTGACTAACCAAATGTCTGTTATTTTAGTGTGCTGTGTGTGTATACTGTCATCCTCCTATCAGTGTATTCCTTTTCTTCCCTGCTTCACATCAGACTAATAGGTGAGAACAGGGGACTGACAGTTTATTTATTTTCAACTTTTTTGCCTTAACAGGTCCGCCGAGAGTACAGGAAATTCTTCAGGGCAAATGCAGGAAAGAAGATCTATGATTTCACCATCCAGAGAATTGTAAGCATGGCTGAGAATATTTGCTTGAAACGTTGCTTGAATAAATGTTTTTGTTGGTGTTGTTTTTGTTTTCAACAAACATTACTTAGAATTTGAATTTAATGGCTTTGTAAATGCAGACAAATCAGACTAGGTTCCCTTGCCTTACATTTCTCATATGTGTCCATTTATCCAGATGCAAAAATACTTCCTGGGTCTGAAGAGCACCGTGCCCTCCATGTCACCCATTGACAAGAACTGGCCTGCTCGGCCTTATCTCTTCCTGGATGGAGTCCACACACAGCTCCGGAGAATCTTCCATCTCTGGAGGGTCGGTCTCAAATAACCAGAGCCAGTTCTTTCCTGTTGGATCCATTCAGCCATTGATTTCTTGTGTTATTTCATGATTTATTGAAAAGCAACAGCTTCATACCGGAGCCAACAATAAAGACAGAAACAGTCTTGTAAATAATTGATAAAATATGTACAGAGTACAAGTTTAGCATCGCAAAATCAATAGAATACAATATAAACCTGAAGACGTTAATTACTAAACATGCAATATAGTGCGCAATGAATAATATTTAGCTACAAGAATCTGTTGTTTCAACTTCCCTTATGTGTTCAGTGCAAGAAATACAGGAGCCAGTTCACAGAGGAGAGGAAAGCCGTGTACGAGGAGAAGCTGGAGGCGAGTGAGATCTTCAAGGATAAAAAGGCTCTCTACCCAAGCAGGTACCTGAAATTCACTGGAGCAGGGTGCTGTTTGTTTCATGGTATAGGTACATAAACACAACATCTATCAGGCTAACGTTTTTACTTTTTTCGATAGTTAAGTAGATGACTGAATCTTAAATTCCGTGATAAACACAAAGCATCAGACATCCCATGCGCTACATATTGTGAATGTCTTTTGTCTCAGTGTGAGCCAGCCCTTCAAAGGAGACTACTTGGAGATAAGCAAGAACCCCAAGTATCAGAAACTCAGCAGCGCTATGGATGAGAAGGTTCTGCTGGCTGATGTGGTTAACAAGATTAACCGAGCTAATGGCAAGGTAAGACGGATGACTGGCTCAGTGTTTACCATCCACTTAGCTTGTGTAAGAGCTGAAAAGTCTAAAATATAACCTGTTATTACATTGTGACCTGCTCACTCTTCCACACAGGCCTACTGGAGCACAAAACTGTTAAGTTGTTTTGATGTGCATTTGACCCAGTTGTGCAGCAGTCTGTTTTTGACACCTTAACAACTGGCATTATTTTTTGTCCCGGCAAATAGCAGACATGTCTGGACAGGTGTGTGACGTTTTACTCTTGACCCTGTCCCAGTTTCAAGATCATGAGGCACTTAAAAACGAAAAGAAAATCGCACTTGAAAACCCTGTTACAGTGTGCGCATCCGCCTGTGCCGTAATGTTGACGTGTTGCACGGTGTTAGAAATGACACCGGGTTGACCCGTTTCTGCCCCGGTTTGCAGGGAACAGCTCGAATCTTCCTGCTGACTAAGAAGAGCGTCGTCCTGGCTGACCAGAAGACGGGCCAGGTGAAGGCCAGCGTCCCTCTGCCAGACCTCACTAGCGTGTCAGTCAGCACACAGAGTGACGGCTTCTTTGCACTCAAACTCAAGGAGGTGAGGGAGACCTGTTGTGATGTATAGTTTCAGCGGAAGACATAAGAGTGGTATGAATCTTCTCATCTAACTCAGCAAGAAAACGCATAGCAATGTCCCAGAATGTGGAACTATTCCTTTAAAGGCTGCTGAGACTTTAAAGGGGTTAAACAGCGGTCAGTTTTGTTGTTATTTTGAATATCTATGGATGCTAAACCAAGACGTTAGACCAGACTACGTTTTTGGAAGTGAGCCTGCAGTAATATACCTTCCTCTAAGTGAAACAGATTTAGTCTATTTGCCTAAATGAAATTGTACTGTTGGTTTAAAGGCTCATGGGAAATTTTTAGCTGCAGCAAGTGCTGATTCAAAACTCTTTTTGGTGGTTTTAGTTTTTTATTTAACTTAGAAACACTACAAGTAAACCTACAGTTAGGTTTTTTTTTTCCTGTTAACCAAACCCCAGGCACCTGGCAGACACAGAACACACACAGGCACACAGTTTACACCCACACAAACAAACACAGAATAACAAACAGAGAAGGTTAGAGTTGAATATTGAGTAGCTGCAATACAAAGAACAAAAGATATGAGATGAAAATAATAATAACAACAAACTCAATCAACAAATAAGAAAAAGAAAAAAGACTGACTTCATAAAAAATAATGGAAATAATACTTTTTAGGCTCACTGGGAAACAGCAAAGGTAAATGGTGCCACACTTTATAAAACAGGTTCCCTCCAAAATGTACCTATGTTAAGTATATTGTTTCTCCACTCTCCAGCTTATTGTTGTTCATGAATCACCACTTTTTTTTTTTTCTTTTTTTTTTTTTTATTAGATTTTATGTGCAGTTTTCTAAAGTATGTGATTACAGGGGACAGAAGTTAAGTTTTTTAATGCCAGTTTTATTGTGCTATTTCACATTAGGGGTCAGCTTCAGCCGTCAAAGGAGACTTCTTACTCAGCAGTGAGCACCTGATCGAGATCATCACCAAACTCCACCGCATCGGGGCCACGGCCGCAGACAGGGAGCAGCTCAACATCGACATCTCAGACGAGTAAGGGAGCATGCAGGGTTAAATCATTACGGTCGACGGACGTGATATGTCCTCCACTTGCGCGGCGTTTAATGATGTGGATAATGTTTCTGTCCGACAGGTTTCTGGTGCAGTTCAAGCAGGACAAAGTGTGCGTGAAATTCATCCAGGGAGCCCCCAAGAACGGCAACAGCGCGTGCTGCAAGCGCAAGAACAACCGCCTGCTGGAGGTGTCGGTGCCCACAACGGCGTAGTGCGCCCACCCCTCCCCCCGCCCGCTCTCTCTGCTTCCAGTGCTGCTCCTGAGCGCTCAGGTTGGGAGCGATTTTAAAACATAGAACCACCACCCACTCCGAAACTCTGGTCTCTAGAACCGTCACCCCCCCAGTGCCCACCCTGAGCCCAAAAATGACAGTGCAGTTATTTGGCTTGTTGTGTTGTTGTTTTTCCTTCAGTCTCTTCTTAACAGATTTACTCTGGCACCACTATAGCTGTAACCATGTGCCACTTTCTTTTGGCAAAGAAAGCCTTTATGTGGGTTGCATGCCACAGAAATTTGGTAAAATGTTTCACTGGTTTTTTTTGTAAAACTGGGGTCAAGAGTTGAAGATGGATGTAAAGAAAATCATGGTGGAGCACAAGAGACTTCTGTACACCAGTGGTGATGTTGATAATGATTGTTCTGCCTGTATGGTAAGTCAGTCTTCAGAGAAAATGTCATTATGAGAACGTTGTGATGAGCTTCAGCCTCAACTGGCCTTTACTCATCTTTTTTTTTTTTTAAGCGGCTCTGGCTTTTAAGCACATGGCTTAAAATTTGAGATGAACTGGGAACTTTTGGGCTTGGTCTGTCAGAGTTGAGTTTCTCTGAAGAAAGTGAATACTGCACTTGTTTTCACCTCGGTGTAACCAACAGAGGATGACCTGAAAATGAATTTGATTGTATGATGTATTATTTTCTATATATTTTCTCTCTGGAAAAAAAAAAAAGCACAGTGGGCGGTTGGGAAGTCAAATGTAATTTGCTAGATTATTGTAAAACCACTTTTGTATCTGCAATTCCTATGTGCCATTGAACAGGTCCTACGACTTGTCACATGTCAGTGAACAAATACAAACCATGCAGGTCACTGACCCCATTCACTTTTTGACAACATGAAAGCCAAAGGCTCTTGAGTAGGGGGGCATATCGACCTGTGTTGGCAATATTTTGTAAGTTGTGATAGAACTGCACATGTGATCAATCTCCATTTCATCCAAAAAAGCACAGTTACAGGTTGTGACAATTTCCAAGCTTAATTTCATCCACAGAGTTATTTTAAACTGAATTCATATCCTTAATACGTAGACTGTCATGTATGACTCAAAGAAAACCCTCTCACTTCATGTGGGGCTTGATTTAAAGATACTGACAAAGGCAGTACAGACATTCCAGTGGAGAGTGAAACCCTTGATACTGATATTTTTTTGTGTGCAATAATTAAAACGCTTTGTCTCAATTATTCTCTTTCCGTCAAAACAGTAGTGACAACCCACAGCATTCGCCCTCACTGTACCATAAGCTGTACATAGGCTCTTTAGGCTGTAGCTCTGGCATGGACAAAGGGTTTCTTTAGTGTCCTCATTTTAATTGCTGTGTTTGTGAAATGGCTCTTTTTGCCACTGCAGCTTTGAGTTATTGTAGTGCTTGACCCACTCTGACCTATTGTGTATTTTTTTTTCAAGAGGAAAGACCAAATATTAAGTGCACACATGACCATAGATTCTCCATGTATCTGAAGAAATCAACCAGTTTCAGTTTTTACAACTTTTCAAGGACACTCATGTAAAAAAAAAAAAAAAAAAAAAAAGAAAAGAAAAAAAAATTTGGTATAGGTATGCATATATTTACAGACAAGCCAAATAAGAGTATCAAAGAAGCAAGAGTGCTATATTTTCAGGTATGTTGACTATAATGATCTGTATTTGGATGTACTGGTAGTAGAATTTGTACTGTTGATTTGAAATCATCCAGTTGTTTTTCTTTTCTGGTGACTGTGAGGGAATAACAAAGCCAAACCTGGTCTAGTCCTGTTTTGCAATCCAGAATATCTTGGTTTATATGTTTTTTTGTATTTTTTATTGCCACACACAAACACAGGGACCTGAGAAATCAGTTGTTGCTGTCCCAAAGCACGGGAACGATTGAGCTGAACGCCTGTTTTGATGTATTTGGTCCTTGGCTCTGCACCGTTTCCATGCAGTTTTGCTAAGCTGACATCCCCCTTCCCCCTTTCACTCTCTTCTCTGTTTCGTATTTGAACAGTGGCTAGAACTGCAAAATGGTGTCTGCATTCTTGTGTGCCTAATGTTAACCTGTGCTGAGAGACACAACATGGGAATGTTTCAGTAGAACTCAATGTAACATTTACAAGTAATCTTTTTTAAATTAAATAAAAATCAGTAATAAATAAATGTCATTCTGCGATTCTGTGACACTCATTCGTTTTTTTTGTTCACATACAAGTGTTAATTTATGTATTGGATTCCTGTATGTCTGCAAGTCATCCACATCTACCTATGAGTGACACTTCTGATCCATATTGAATTGATTCAGGGCATTTTCCATTTTGTGCAGAACCTATTGAGCAGCCTTTTATGTAACCCACAGTGTGTAGGCATCATTTGAAATCTCACATCAATGCACCAGATTATTAAATCTCACATTATTTTAAAGGGCCTAGGTTGCTATTTATCAGCAGTGCAGTCCTGGTCATATTATTGGCACCCTTGAATTTCAATGACATCATGCAGAATATCTTCAGAAATGCAAATGAATCAATTTGGTATAACCAGATTTTTTTAATAAAATGCTCAAGGTTAGAGGACAATAGAAAAGAAAACTTACATAACAGTGAAATAATAAAAACATAAAAATGTACCCCCGACACAATTACTGGCACCCTTTTAATGAATTTAAATTAGTTCCTCAAACTAGATAAAACATAAGTGAGACTTCTCTGTCTGAATTTTCATGACCAGTTCACATGAGCAGAATGATGGTTTTACTGCATGAAAAGGGGCTGATTGTTTCCAGTGTCTTTTTGCCACTGAAATTGCCATTGTAAAAAAAACTCAACAAATTCTAAAAGCTACAGGGCAATCATCAAAAACCCTGAAATCCCTGTCTCATTAGTTGGTAAGGTTATCAAGAAGTTTAGCAGTTATAAAAACGCTCTCAGGACATGACACTAACAGGAAACTCAATAAGAGAAGTCTGTGAAGGTCGGTGCAGACTGTGAAAGAAACATGACACAAAGCATCTAAAGAGCTTCAGGCTTCCCTACAGCAACCTGGAGCGGTAGTTTCAGCCCGTACCATATGCCACACACTAAACCTAGTAGGGCTCCATGGGCAAAGGCCAAGGAGGACACCCCTACTGAAAAAAAAGGTATTAAAAGACGAGACTAATGTTTGCAAAAACTTTCAGTCTTTCTGGAATAGTGTTCTAGAGACAGATGGAACTAAAGTAGATGCAGTGCATCAGTTTGTTTACAGGCAACAAAGTGAAGCCCCTGGGGAAAAGAACACTGTAGCTAAAGGTAAAACATGGTGGAGGCTCTATCATGCTGTGCAGCTGCTAGGCAAAACAAAAAAAAAAAAGCTGTGGGGTTCTGAGACAGGAGGCTCTGAATGTATCAAAGGAATGATGAAATCAGAAGATTACCAAGGCATTGTAGTGTGAAATGTGTTACCCAGTGTCATTAAACACGTTTTGAGATTAAAGTCTTGGATCTTTCAGCAAGACAACAACCCAAGGAACACACCCAACAGCATGGGAGAACGGTTGAAAAGGAAAAGCTGGACTGTTTTAAACAGGCCAGCAATGAGTCCTGACCTAAATCCCATTGAAAACCTTATAACAGCTTGAATGAAAAGTTCAGAGGCTGTCACTGTAGCCAAAGTTTCGGCAACCAAATATTAGTGACGGGTGCCAACAGCTGTGTCTGGGGTACATTTTGTATTATTTCACTATTATTATTTTTTTTTCTGTTGTTCGGTCAGAGTGTTGGCTGGGACAGGCAGGCTTACGGGTTAGTAGCATTGGGGCTGGACGGCCATGCCTTTTACTTAAGCAGCTGGACAGATGTTTTCCATCACATCTGGGGAGAGCTGTCCTAGGGTTAAATTCCGCGGCTTGGGGAAAGCTGCCGGCAACAGGTCTCCAGGGAGCAGCCCTCAGATTGAGCACAGTGTGGTAAAAATAGCAAACCATTTTGGGCTGCCCAGTACCCGGTTCCCACCACTCGGAAGTCTGGGAAAGGAAGGAGGAGTCCCATCAGCTTCCCTGTGGATATTCAACCCACAGTGGGAGTGCAAAGGAACTGTACAACACACAATCACATCTCCTGGAGGGCCTGTCAGATTCAAACAGTGAAGCAGATCTACATCCAACCAGCACAACAGGAAGACCGAGGTTTGGGTGATACCTGCGCAAGGTGATCGACGGCTAAATAAAGAACACACCAAATTTTAACAAACATTATTCAAATCTGCTTTGCCTGTCTTTGATTTGCTGGAAACTGAAACAGTGTGCAATTGTGTTTTATTTCTAAAATAGTATGATTATCATTTTCTAAAAGGTGAATGTAGTTTTCACTTCACAGAATGGTGGGTAATTGGAAGTAGAGCACGCTGCTTCTGAGATTGAGTAGTCTTTGGCGACCCCTCATGGATTTCAGATGATACTACAATAAAAAAGATAAAGCAAGAACGCTGCGGCAGGATATGAACAGTTGTCCCGATGGCCTTTTGCTGATCTATAAAGCTGATTTAGCACACATTAGAAAAACAAGACTTACCATTATTTACAGCTCTTTATAACATATACCTTCTTAGTTTCTTAGAATTCATTGGTATATGATACTGTTTTGAAATTTTAGATAATTACTTTTCTATAACATTTCTTGCCAAAACTTGCAGAAACTTTCATATTGTAAGTTGTATAGTGAGCCAGGCAGATGTAGAGCCAGTAAACAACTGGACAACTCTCACTCTCTGGGGATTTCACATCCTGCTCAAAACATCCTGCTGACAATAAAAAAAAATTAAAAAAAATAAAAAAAACGCAATGCATGACAACATTAAGTGTACTTGCAAATATGAAACTCATTTTTACAAAAAGATGCTGGCTCCCGCTCAGGTTGTTGCACCACCTCGCGTCTGTCTGGAGCCGCATTAGCATTCTGTCGACAACACTGTATAATGTGTGCGAGGATGAAAATAAAGCACAAAGGCTGACACATCACCTCGAGTATGCAAAAGTGTACTGCAGTGTTGGATTCTCGCACACCTCCTGATTCTGTTGAAGTGTTGTGACACTTGAAACCTGTCACACCTGTCTCACACACGGAAGATGCAATGCCTCCAGTTTCTTCTTAGTGAAATCATCCCTGTCGAGTGATTGGAGGAGGAAGTGGACATTAGTCAGGATTTTCTCTCTCTCTCCTTCTCCCTCTCTCACTGTCTCTCATAGAAGTGACTAAGCATGAGTAAAATAAATGAAAGCAGTCATGAATGAGTAGAAAAATACACAGTGGCTACTGGTCCCTGACTGTTAAAAATTCATTGCCTGGGGATAAACGTCGTCTGAAAAGTGATGTGCGCCTTGATGCTGCAACAGAGCTTACCTGATGGCAAGAGTCAAGATAAACGGTGGCCTGCAAGAGTGCTGTCTGTGATAATGGCTTATGCTCTTTTCCTGCACCTTTGTGGCATACATCTTTTCCAAGTGTGGCTGATTGCTATCTGTGAGGCCACTTTAACAATTCTCTTAAGTCACCTCAGGTCAAACACACACACACAGGTTACCAAAACTCCACCAGGAAGACTTTAAACAGGGCACCAATACAGATTGTTTTTCTCAGTAATATAAATAGCTGAAATCACTCTTTTTAAAAAGTTTTGATCCATATTTAATCTCTCAGTCAAATCATTT